ACATACTAAAACACAACAGTCCCAGTTACAAATAAGTAGACATTATATTACAATCTAAAGAAAGAAAGACTTTATGATTTTGTGCGTTGTTTTCCATAATTACAAACTACTCATTAGGAACTAATTTGTTTTCAAGGGTTATATTATTGTATTGTTGTGTGATCATTCTGTAAGCATTAAGCTGCAAACAGTGAGATGGTTCATTCTGGTCCCTGTTCTTTGTCAGTGCTTTTACTCTTTCACAATGAGCTCACTTTTTCCACAGCCATTAAAAGGTGTGTTTTCCAAAAACTGTTCTCCTGTCAAATAAAAGCAATATAAGAAAATATTGCATAATCTCTGAGCTGCAATCTGGCACTTACATTGCATGAGAAAGATATATACTGATTAACTCCAGTCCAACACTAGTTTATCACATAGGCAATTAATTAATAACAATTGCCCACTAAACTTTATCTAACAAAATTATAAACTGTGTACATGAGCTCTTAGATGCAGCTCTGTCATTTTTTCCAGGCAGCCATGTATTTTACACAGCTAATGTTAAATTTTTCTTTATGTAAGTTACTACTGACAGTACACAAACCTGAAAAACAGACTGATTGGTGCAGTAATGTGATCCAGTTACACTGTTGTGTATACAGCTGCAGCTTTTTTATACTTTATGTCAGAATGATGGACTGCATTTGAACTATTCTTCAAAGCAATAACATGACTGCCAATAACTACAGGCACACCTGTGGTTATTGCCTTTATAACAACAAAAAAACAGTAAGCAACACACGCCACATCTCTTCATATGCTAAAATATTAGATGTACAAACCCTGAACAGCTGAACAGGCTCACTTCACCTTGAATCGTTTATCTAGTGTTCCCTTAGTGCTTGAATGCTAGGTACTTTAAGTTGTCTTTACAACTTGGTGTAGGCACAGTCCCAAAACAATAATAAAGACATTTAACGCATGTGGATCCAACCAGTCAAAATCAAAAAGAAACACATCTGGTTTCCTTTTCAGTGCGTTTATCTGGGGGTGCGTTTCATCTGTGATAAGCAGAGCCGATGTTCACTCCGGTTTGGGATTGAATTACAGTGGTGTGAAAAAGTGTTTGCCCCCTTACTGATTTCTTATCTTTTTGCATGTTTGTCACACTGTAATGTTTCAGATCGTCAAACAAATTTATATATTAGTCAAAGATAACACAAGTAAACACATCATGCAGTTTTTAAATGAAGGTTTTTATTATTAAGGGAAAACAAAATCCAAAACTATATAGCCCTGTGTGAACAAGTGTTTGCCCCCCTGTCAAAACACTGGTTTATCGCACCTGAGTTCAATTTCTCTAGCCACACCCAGGCCTGATTACTGCCACACCTGTTCGCAATCAAGAAATCACTTAAATAGGACCTGCCTGACAAAGTGAAGTAGACCAAAAGATCCTCAAAAGCTAGACATCATGCCAAGATCCAAAGAAATTCAAAAACAAATGAGAAAGAGAATAATGGAGCTCTATCAGTCCGGAAAAGGTTATAAAGCCATCCCTAAAGCTTTGGGACTGCAGCGAACCACAGTGAGAGCCATTATCCACAAATGGCGAAAACATGGAACAGTGGAGAACCTTCCCAGGAGTGGCCGGCCGACCAAAATTACCCCAAGAGCACAGCGACAACTCATCCAAGAGGTCACAAAAGACCGTTTATCTGGTGTTGCGTTTCATCTTTGATAAGCAGAGCCGATTTTCGCTCCGGTTTTGGATTTAATTATATTTTCCTGTTAAATAACCTTGATATTCTTTGAGCAATTGCTCTGTTCGCTTTTCCTTGGATTTTGAATAGAAATTTGTGCTTTGCTGGGTTCATGTTGTTTTTATTTGTTCAGCCCCAAGGGAGAGTACTGTTGATAGAGTTCTTGTTCTTTTTAATTCACTTACGAATTTTTACATGAAGCCGTCATTGTATCCAGTGTTTTGTTTCTCTTTAAACACAGGAGCGAAAGGCCCTGTGACACTGGTTGCTCACATGAAACTTCTGCGTCCACTCCTCCACTGTGATGTGTACAAGATGGTTCCTTAGCTTTTGATCCAGAACAGATTATATGCAGGAAACTAAGCATTTTAAGCCACAAATGTAATTACCTTGAAACTACATAATTTGGCATTGCTCAGCAGCCCTACCAACTCCCTGCTAATATATAATGGTCATTTATGGAGCAGTAAAAATCACATAATGTACTCTGACTTTACACCAGAGCTATTTGAAGGAAAGTGAGAGTTTCAGGCACATTTCCAAGTCAAGTCCTATCTGCATAAAATTACAGCTGTGGGTTCCTTTTACAGCTCTCATTATGTAAGCTAAGCTGCTTTAACCATTACAGCAAATAAAATTTCATAATACAAAAATTCTTCAGTCTAATTCAAAACATATGGATGACTGGCTTCTGATACAACAGCTAAAAGAGCAATGAATGATTGTGGTGACAATCAAACCTGGCCTGCTGTCACAGAGTACAGTGAAACACTATCAGATAGCCCACCTACTGTCTTTGGGTCCATGGCTCTGATAGCAACAGAAATCATATAGCACCCAAACAATATGCTGGCCATGTGAAATGTGTGTAGAAGAGGGCAAATAATGCACTATGTGCCAATGCAATAAAATACTAAATAGCAACTATAATAACAGACTTTAACAGAGAGCTAGGTGGGAACTAATGACTAACGAAACAAGTACTGTATGTAAAACAGGTGATACTTTTAAATCCCAGAGTTACCAAACAGCAGAAGCTCCCTTTTTATTTTATGAGATGAGCGAGTGTTTGGACAATGCCAGGGATGCTAACCTTTCTTTTTAGGATGGTTGCATTCCTTCTTCTTTAACTCAGCATTCAGAGGCGATTCAAGCAGCAGAGGAGAACTGAAAGGGAGGGGTGAAATGAAGAAGAAGAGTTACTGGAATTGAAGGAGTACGGCATCTGGTAATTCTAATTCTCAGTACCATTATAATGTTGACTCATAAAAAACCAGATGGCAACAGTAGTTATAAAAAGCCAAGTTAATATGGAAATGTCTGAGTCAGAAAGAGTCACAAGCAGCAGGCCCATTAAAAAACAAACAGGCCACATTCATACATCCTGGTTCTGGTGAGGTCAAGTGACCAAGCAACAAAAGTCTATGAGTGGAAACTGCAGCAAAAAGGCATAACATTGATAAAATTATCATTTGCTGGATTCTGCTAAATAATCATTTAGCAAGGAATAAGTGATCCCTGAATTAATTTCTTTCAGAAGACAATTAAACAAGTTTTTGCATTTATAATGAAATGTTGTTGCTGAAGTACAACTACCGCTACGTAATTCTTTGATGAGAAAACCTGCATCCCAGACCCTGTGTACATAAGGCTCTGCTAGGCCGAAATGTCCCTGAGCAAAATACTGACTTTTTTATGAAGGAGCTGATGGTTTTTGCTATGATTTCTATTTTGAAGGGAGGAAGCAGAATGGGTCAATTTGACCTTTAAGGATTTAACATTCTGTAACATCACCAAATATATGCCTTAAACTCAAAGTTTACCTAGGGAACACTGAAAAGCCTTCCGAGCCAGTCCACATCCTCTCTAGGTCCTGCAGGTTTAACTCCAACAGCACCACACATGGAGTAAACAAAGAGCTCCCTAAAAACATCACCTGTGTGACAAGGAATTCAAGAATGAATTAATTACAAAAAATTTGTCAAAACAACTGTATTAGTCTACTATTAGAAAGAGATAAAAATAGAAATATTGGGTGATTTATGCTACAATATAAAACATAGTAGCTTCTCTGCAAGAACAAAATTTAAACACATTAAGACAAAATGAAAAAGTCCAAAAAAAAAAGAAAAAATTGGAGGTCCTGCTAGATGGACAGTTCAGTGTTATGTCTTCATTTGGTAAATCAAGATATTACAGGAGTAACTCACAGACTTATCCCACCCCGGAGAGACTGACCATGACCCAGCCATTGTGATGCTCAGGTTGGGGTAATCTAGAATAAAAATCAGTCATGGGTTAGATAACTTTATATTTTCTGGTACCAAAATGGGAAAGAAAGATTTGTTCATTCCTGGATTTCCCTTTGCATTAAATAGTATCGACTCTTACAGAATTTTGCTAAAAGTAAATGTGATGTGTGAGTGATCGTGCCCTGGTGCAAAAATTGTTAAATATAGTACAGGTGTCTGGTAGCAATCTGCAATCACACCTACCTCTGAAATATAGTGCTGTTAGGAGTTCTGAGGTAGCCAGATCCACCACATACAGGCCATTAGAGCTTCCAATACATAAACAGCTGTTGTCCCTGCAGAGGCCCAGAGAGAAATGTATGGGTAAACTGCATTACATGATTTCCCCTGAAAAGAATTTTAGGGGAAATCATGCTGAGCATGTGCTTCTGTACAGGATGTAGACACTTACAGCCATAACAGGTAGAGTTTTTATGTGATTAGTGCATTGTTCAGATTAAGCTGAAGGTATACAGTATGTTCATTGCTATTTTGTTAGGAAACAGCAAAAACCTGACTCCAAAGTTAATAACATTAGAGCCAAGTTTTCTTGACTTGAACATGAGGATGTGGTTGTTACTGAAAGGGGATTTCTTGTGACAGAGGAACTGGCAAGTGTTGGAGCAACATTAAAAATCTCTGGTTTCATACAAGGGTTATCAATCTCAGCTGTCTGGCCCTTGTGTTGATAGTTCCTGTCAGCTGTCAAGAGTAGCAAGCGAGTCATCTGTCATCTTGAAAACCTTTCACATACTCAGCACTGTGATACCCATTAGTCAGGTAGGCCTCCCGGATGATCCACCAATTTTAACAGTGGCTCCATAAATTCAGATATCACCACGTCCTCTGGAGGATTTTTTTTTAAATAAAACTGTTTATTTTTTGCCGTGTGTAGACTTTTCATGTTCTGGAAATGGTTGTTTGCTTTTTGCTGTTCATTACAATTTCCCCTTCTTAAACATAAAACGATCTGGCCCTCTCTTTGTCCATCTTGGAACTGTGAATCTAGGTCTGCCACTTCCAATAAAATTCTCTTTAAAAAAACCTGGCCTTCATCATCAAGCTACCATTTCTGCAATTGCACCAGCTAAACTATGTTTACTTACTTTGTTTGCTCAGTGTTGGTGTCAGGAGATAAGCTACATAAAGCCATTTTGAGGACAGGTTTTGACGTTTCCACTTTATCTACAGTTGACTGTTCTGCACTCTCTGGAAGAATATATCCAAAAAGTAGCATTAGTAAACTTGTCCGGGTAGTGGAAATAGGTTTTATGAATATGACTTTACTGCACCATGTCTGCCATTGTCAGTGTTTTAACATCACCTGCTTGATGGCCCACAGTCTCTTGGTGCATTTGATATCTTTTTTCCATCTTCTGAAGGTCCATTTTGGTCACAAGCTGACACTTGTGGTCATCAGGGAGAGAAAAGCACCACACCTAAACCCAACAGATACATGTGTGCTACATAGCATGTGAAATCACAGGTTCTGATAGTAATGTTCAGCAGTTAAGGGGTACCTGTCCATCAGCTGAGCCGGTGACAAGGTGCCTATTCTCCTCCAAGACGAGCATACTGAGAAGTGGAGAAGCTAAAAAATTCAACCATCAGGTTTAAGTAACTTGGAAGGGAATGATACTTTCACTCATTTTGAAAAGCCCTGATTCCTCAGAAAACATGCCATTTAAAATGTTGTCTTTTATATGTAACACTTAAAGTGCTTGTATTTAAGCCTTAATAATAATTCCTGACACCTATATTTGGATATCCAAAGCTAATTTATGCTGTATAATAACAGATCCTAATTTCAAACTGATCCCATTAACACTTGTAATTCTATCACTTCTACTTTAGAGATGCCATGACAGGATTTGTACCATACTTGAATTAAGAGCTGTTGTGGGTGGGGCAATCAATTTGTAAGAATGAAAAAGATTTTAAATAGCAATACAATACCTGAAAGCACAAATGACTGGTAGCAAACAGCTTCTGTTTTTAAATCCCAAACCTGAAAAACAAGTTAAAAGTATTTCATAGTTACTTAAGCTCAATTACAATGTGTTAAATGTTTGATTTTTGTTGTGCATACAATTATAAAGAGTTGCCAATAAATAACAAGTGCAACAATTTTTGACTCTGAGAATGTTAAATCAGTATCTTAAAAGTGCGATCCTCTGATGTGGTGATGAGAATGTCTGTGTTCCAGGGACAGAACTCTGATGATGTTAAAATCCCCAGGTGGCCAGTCAAGGTAGAGATCACTTCATGTCTCTGATGTGGAAAACAACAGGAAAGCTTGGCAAGGGTCAAGTGATAACCTTCAACTGCTGCTAAACTATAACAAAGAAACAATACTACACATCTTTGAATAGATATGTGCTTTGATGTACATCCAGTAAATTATAATGAAGTAAAAAAATGTACAGTATTTTAGTAACGATGTGTACTAAAAGGAACTATGAAAATGTGCATCGTCTTGAACCTTTGAGTTGAGAATATAGATGTTTACTCCTGAGCACACAGCCACTCGTTCATCAGAGAAACAAAATGAAAGATGAGAGACTTCACCCAATAAAGTCCCAATAACTGTTCCAGCTGCAATTTTACCTGCAAACAAATCAAGTAGTATGTATTTAGGGTATTCAAAGCAAAAGAAGTCTATGACTATAGTAGACATGAGTGATCTATCTCGTAATACTTCACTAGATGGCGGGCTTGTTAAGATTTTCACTCAGGAAAATGATCTTACACTGAGTAAAACATACTGTACATGTGCAACAACTTTCTCTACTGCTTCATATAAGCAGGGAATTACACTAGCAGAATTTTAAAATTATGCTTAGGTGAAAATGTTGAGTTCAGCATTTTAGCATTGTAAGAGCAAAGGTATGCTATCCTTTATGGTTTAATGTGAATAAAATAAACACTGAGCTGAACCTCGGTTGATGACAACACACTAAACTCTGACTAGTGTACAGTAGTAAGTCTGCAGTGTACTCAGACACACAGAACTGCAGTATTTACCTTCCTGTGTTCGCTTCTGGCACAGTTCAATATCCCAGACAATGATATAATCAGCAGAAGCAGAGCAGAGGAGAACAGGACTGCTTCCTTTCCCAAAAGTCATGGCACTGATCTCACCATGGTGGCCAGTTAGCAGCAGGGGCTGTGGGCAAATATTCATACTTCAGTAAAATAAACAATACAGTGTCATAAAATGATGCAGTCTGTAGCTCCTGCATGAATCTCACAAGCTAATAACACACCAAGCTTGTGGCTATCAGGATGTTGGTACAGTTGAAAACAACGTAATTGACAGATCGATCTTTTCTTTCTCTTCTTTAAAAAATCTATATAAATTGCTTTACTGCATTTTAGGAAGACGTTTTATCAAATTTTAACCAGCCTGTGCAAATATTAAAAATCCATCCATCCATCCATTTTCCTCCGCTTATCCGGGACCGGGTCGCAGGGGCAGCAGTCTAAGCAAAGATGCCCAGACTTCCCTCTCTCCAGACACTTCCACCAGCTCCTCCGAGGGAATGCTGAGGTGTTCCCAGGCCAGCTGAGAGACATAGTCCCTCCAGCATGTCCTCGGTCTTCCCCGGGGCCTCCTCCCGGTGGGACATGCCCGGAACACCGCCCTAGGAAGGCGCCCAGGAGGCATCCGAAACAGATGC